GGGACCTTTTTGAGAAGAGCTGAACAGTGTGTTCCCCATTCCTTGGAACAGAGCAAAGTCTGGAGTGATGAGCACATGTCAGGGAGGAAGCTGGGAGGCCGCACAAGGAAGACAGTGTATGAATCAATTGGCTGTAGTGGAGGAGGCAAAGATCCCAAAGAAATCACAGTGGAGTGGACAAATCACAATGAAAAGAAACCCTATAAGTGCTTGGACTGTGGGAACAGCTTCAGTTACCACTCATACCTTATTAAGCACAGGAGAATACACACGGGGGAGAGACCGTATAAATGCCATGAGTGTGGGAAAAGCTACATACAGAGCTCAAGTCTTACTACACACCACAGAGTGCACACAGGGGAGAGACCCTATGCATGCTTGGACTGTGGGAAAAGCTTCAGTATGAGTTCACATCTGATTATACATCAGAGACTACACAGCGGAGAAAGACCCTATAAATGCTTGGATTGTGGGAAAAGCTTCAATGTGAGAGGGAATCTTATTGCACATCAGAGAGTGCACACAGGAGAGAGACCATATGCATGCCTTGAGTGTGGGAAAAGCTTCAATCGTAGCTCAAGTCTTAATAGACATCGGCGACTGCACATAGGAGAGAGCCTAGAAGTGCCTTGAGTGTAGGAAAAGGTTCAGTGATGGATCAAAACCCATTACACATCAGAGAACACACACGGGCGAGAAACCACGTAAATCCCTGGATGACGGGGAAAGCTTTAGTTCCAGCTGTTCCTACTTTCCTAAACATCCGAGAGTCCATATGGGACAGAATTAATAAATGCCTGGACAGTGGAAAAAACTTCATGTAAAGATCAAAATCTTGATTCACGTGACACAAACCACACACTGAAGAGAGCCCAGACCTGCTTGGATTGTGGGAAAGCCTTCAGTAACTGCAGGAAGAGACACAGTCTGAGTTCTCTGTGACTCCCAATCCTGCACATCAGTCTCCAGGAAATCCACATGGGGAAGAGCCTTTCATACCCTCAGCATAGAAAATGCTTTACTCGGTGCTAACACTACATTGGCCATCAGAGACTGCTCCACACGGGAGTAAAGCTTTCAGTGTCCTGGCTGGGACTGGCCTTAGCAAAACTCCATTTCCTCATTCCCACACACACTGGTGGCATGTGGCTCCCAGGTCTCCTTCGGCCCATATCTGGGCAGGATTCCAGCAGTAGCTGACTTGAAGGTGATCAGGGACGCTCTGTCTTTTTCTAGTCTAAGTCAATGGGTCTTATAGTCTTGGTTGGGACACAAAGTGAGTAGTAACCCCATTTTAATGGGGTCACTAGACCAGGCCTACATCTACACTGGCATAAATTTCCGGAAATGCTTAAAACGGAACAGTCTACATTGGCAGGATGAGCGTCTACATTGGCAGGATGCTTTTCCGGAAAAGCACGTTTTCTGGAAAAGCGTCTGTGACCAATGTAGACGCGCTTTTCCGCAAAAAAGCCCCGATCGTCATTTTCGCGATTGGGGCTTTTTTGCGGAAAAGACTATTGGGCTGTCCACACTGGCCCTTTTCCGGAACAGTTTTCCAGAAAAAGGACTTTTGCCCGAACTGGAGTTGCATAGTATTTCCGGAAAAGCAGCTGATTTCTTACAGTAGATTGTCAGTGCTTTTCTGGAAATTCAAGGGGCCGGTGTAGACAGCTGGCAAGTTATTCCAGAAAAGCCGCTGCTTTTCCGGAATAAGTGGCCCAATGTAGACACAGCCCTGGTGTTAGACCTTATGAGGGCCCAAGCCAAAGCCCAAATTGAGGGGCACCATATCAGATTTTGGTGGTGGGGCAACCTGTGCATGTCATGATGGGAGGAGGAAGAGTGAGAGTGTGAGGGGAATGGACTCAGAGGCTTCAGCAGTGTTATTGAGCATGCTCAGTACAAGCCAAGCACCAAATGCGAGGCGGGGGGAACCATATCCATCTGCCCTCTCCTCACACATATCTCTATCCAGGGGCTACTTGGACATTGGAATCTCTACTTTTTTGGCAGACAACTTAGTAGTTGGCTGACAGGAGCACTGTATCTAATTCCTATATAAAAGAAAGAGAAAAGTAAATAAATACTAGACTGACTCAGCTCTAACATTAACGTATTCTGACATCTTGTGATAAGTCACTTGAGGGACACTGATTGGTCTTATAATTTTAATGTATATTCTCACTTCATTACTAACTGGAGAGAGAGGATGTGTCTACACTGCACCCATAGCTTGAAATAAGCTCCACAATTTGAGCTATGCAAATTCTCTGTGCCACTTGGTCTGGCTGCATGTAGGGTTGCTGGATGGTTTCAACAAAAGTACTAGACACACTTGATATTACATGGTAGTCTACGTTACATCTTAGTTAAAAAATACCAGACGTATATTTTCTCATTTATATCCTCTCAATTTGTTTCCTGAACAGAAAGCTCAGACTGGACTATCCTGGCAACCCTAGCTGCATGAGGTTGCACGTGCCATGTGCTGCTACCTCTCCCCGCCCCCCCAGCACACTGCAAATGGTAGCCACTGCACTCACCAGACAATCCCTCGCCAGCTTTGGAGGATGCCCGGGACACATCCTGACTGCTGCTGGGCCAGGATGGTGAGGTCTGGCTGCTGTCCTCTGTCACCTCCTTCTCCTCATCCGAGGACGGTCTCCCTCCTCCTCATCCTTCGGTGGCCTGGGTTGGACCACTGGGGTGGCCACTGCTATGTCTACCTGGGACAGCAGGGGAGTGGCCCCTTTGTCCCCCAAGATCTGGTGCAGGCGGTGATACTGGGGACAGGCAGTGGCTCCGCCGCCCCCATGCTCTCTGGCCCGCATGTAGGTGAGGTGCAGGTCCTTCACCTTGGCCTGGACCTGTTCCAGGGTCTGGGCCGGGTGTTCCTTTGTGGCCAGTGCTTGGGCCATCTGGGCAAAAATGTGCTCATTTCTTCTCCGGGGCTTGGGGTCCTGGAGGGCCTCCTCCTTTCCCCAGAGGTCCAGGAAGGCAGTCACCTTGGCGGTGCTCCAGCATGAAGCCTGCTGCTTGGTGCCCCTTCGGGCCTGCTGGGTGCTCTGGGGTGGCTCCTCCATGGGGTCTGAGGGACCTGGCTGAGGTTGGGCAGCTGCCATTCCTCCCTCTGGCTGCTACCCAGGCTGCATGTGGCAAATGGTTGTGCTCTGTGCCTTTAAAGGGGGGCCAATTAGGGGGAACCAACGAGTGGTGATTGCCTGTACGGCGTGTCAGAGAGGCCACCTGTGTTTTCACTGGAGGCCAAGTCTTATGCAGGAACACTCTTGCCGAACGTCCACACTGCCCTCTTGTGCAAGAGCACCTGTGCAAGAGAGCTTAAGCCTGATAGAAAACAGCGTAGCTCTTGCGCAAGGAGCTGTCTCTTATCACACCGTACTGTACATTTACTTGCGCAAGAGCGGATGGGCAATGTAGATGCTGTGCGGATTCTTGCGCAAGAACGGCCACGTGTGTAGATGTAGCCAAAGAGTGCTACTGTTTGCCACACTGGCCTGCAAGAAGACACACAAGCAATCCCCATTGGACACTCCAGTTCTCCTGTGCCACAACCAGCACCGCTCTTTACACAGGGGAGGGGTCTTTAAACCAATCTCACCAAATCCGAACAGGTTCTTCCAATCCCAAAGGACCAGCCACATTCCCAGGCCACTTTATACCTTAAATCTTACCCCCAAAGAGCATTCTGAGCCAACCCTTTTAGAATCTAACACCTAAAGGTTTATTAGAAAGAAAGAAAGAAAGAAAGAAAGAAAGAAAGAAAGAAAGAAAGAAAGAAAGAAAGAAAGAAAAAGAAAAGGAAATAGGTGGGAGCAGGTGAGAGTGAATCCCACTACCTCTCACATACAAAGAACGTACTTTTCCAGTGGAGTTAACTCAGCCCCCTAGGCCTGATTCTGGTGCTCCTGCCACTACCAGGAACAGGAGGGCTGGCACCCAGCAGCTTTCTGCCCTGCCAGGGCTGGCTTTTGGGTGGCTGAGTAGGAAGAGTGAAGGGGCCTCTGGGAGCGCTTAGCCCCCTGGCTGGATCTGCCTGTGAAAAGGAGGAATAAGGACCCCCAACACTATGCCACTGGAGAACAGGTACATCAATCCCATGGCCTCTTGTATAGTAAGCAAGCGTTCTGCCACTTGAGCTAATTCCCCAGCCTTTGAACAGGGCTCCTACTCCATCCATCTTGTTCCAGAGCCCACAAGGTCCCGGCAGCTGCCTGATGCTCCTTTCTGAAAGGGTCACTTGAGTGCCACTTTGCTGTGGGCTGGCTTGCACGGTGACAGAGCCATCAAAGGCTCAATTCCCACAGAGAAAGGAGACCCACAAAAATCCTGTCGGCTGCACTTCAGCGGCTCCATGGGAAATGTCAAACACTCAGCTCTATACAAGGTTCTTTCCACGAGCCATTTGTGTTCCAGAATCATTGGGGCGCAGGGGCTGCAGAGCCACCAAAAAACAGAAGGTTTCACGAGTCTTAAGCTAGCCCAGAGGCGGGCAATAAGTTTTGATGGGGGGAGACACGTTAAGGTTTTGCTAAGTGGTCAAGGGCCGCACTTTTTTACAGAGGGGATGCGGGGTCTGGGCAGAGGTTGGGTGCAGAAGGGAGCTCAGGGTAGGGTACTGGGGTGCAGGAGAGAGCGTGGGATCTGAGAGGGAGTTTGGGTGAAGGAGGGAGTTGTGACCTTGAGCAGGAGATTGGGGTCAGTGTCCAAGAGGGGGATGGGAACAAGAGAGGATTCTGGCCTAGGGGAAGGGGTGCAGGGTCTAGGAAAGAGTCATGACCTTTTGGAAGGGGGCTGCAGAGGGTTTGGGTGGTGACCTGGGATGGCAGAGGCAGGGTCTGGCAGGGAGGTGCTTATTTAGGCAGCTCACGGCCAGCAGCTCACTGGAAACCTCTGCCAGGCTCCCTGCCTGCTCCCTTTTCTGGCGTCTCTGACCATCACAGTCAGCTGGAGGGAGACCGGCCACTTAGCGAGATAGCCCCATGAAAAGCGTGGGGCTTGAAGCCATCGCCTTGGTGTGAGTATCAGCCGAGCTAGTCTCCCAACAGAGCCTGCTGTCAGAAGGAGCCTCGGCAGCTGCAGGAACGTTGTGGGGTCTAGAAAAAGATGGGTTGGGCAGGAGAACTGCCCATAGGTGGGGAAATTAGCTGAAGTGGCAGAGTGCTCACTTAGCATGGAGAAGCCAGTGGGATTGATGTCCATGCTCTCTGGAGAGAGGGGTGTCCTTATTTCATCTTTTCACAGGCAGAGCCAGGCAGGCAGCTAAGCACCTCCAGCTTAGCACCTCCCTCTTCCTACTTAGTCTCCCAAAAGCTTCCCCTAGCAGACATGCCCCACAACGGCAGAGTTGGGAAAGTGCCTGCTTCACCTGTGAGAGGCAGGGGCTGGCTCCACATGATCTCCAGCCGGCTTCCTTGGGGTGAGGTGTTGGCTGCTCTCCTGGGCTATGTCTAGACTGCAAGCCTCTTTCGAAAGAGAGCGTCTAGACTGCACGCGGAACTTTCGAAAGAGCGAGCCGCTTTTTCGAAAGAAAGCACCCAGTGAGTCTGGATGCTCTCTTTCGAAGAAGCCCTATTTACATTCAAGAACGCCTTCTTTCGAAAGAAGTACTTTCAAAAGAAGGCGTTCTTCCTCGTGAAATGAGGTTTACCGCCGTCGAAAGAAAAGCCGCGTTCTTTCGATTTAATTTCGAAAGAACGCGGCTGCAGTCTAGATGCAGGTGAAGTTTTTTCGGAAAAAGGCTACTTTTCCCGAAAAAACCCCTGAGTCTGGACACAGCCCTGCTGATGTAGCACCAGAGCCCCAGCCCTGTGCCCCTCCTCTGTGCTCCTCCCCACAAAACTGATTGGCTAGCAGAGAGTGCCACTCAAGGGCACAATCACTCCGTTCCCCAGCATGCACTGGGGCTACGTCTAGACTGCAGGCTTCTTTTGGAAGAAGCTTTTTTCGGAAGAGATCTTCCGGAAAAACTTCTTCCGAAAGAGAGCGTCCACACTCCAAGGCTATGTCTACACTGGTGCGGCTCATGATATTATTTATATATTTTGATTAGTCTCTAAGGCTATGTCTACACTCGCGGCTTCTTGCGCAAGAAATATGCAAATGAGGCTAACCGTGGACTATTGCCAAGCCTCATTTGCATACCTAATGAGCCACCATTTTTGCAGAAGAGGCTCTTGTGCCAGAAGGAGCTGTCTACCCTGCCCCTTCTTGCACAGGAAAACCCTCTTGTGCAATGCCATTACACTGATTATTTTCAGGAATAATGGCATTGCACAAGAGGGTTTTCTTGTGCAAGAAGGGGCAGGGTAGACAGCTCCTTCTGGCACAAGAGCCTCTTCCACAAAAA